AGAGCTTCTCCCCCTTCTTCGAAGTTTGAATATCTTGTATTATTGAGAAGGATGAATTGGTGTTGCATAATAGTCTAGGCTTTGTACTACTTATCCTATGAAAGATGGTAGGCTTGATTATACTTTATATATTTCTTCTATGCTAGACTTTAGAAAGAGCTAAGTGGTTGGCCAACTTTTTTAGAAATTCCTAGATGCACTGAAGGAGGTGAAAGGTTTGCTTCCTAGGAGATCAATGGAGTTTTGAGTTATTAGTGAAATGAGCTCCTATATCAAATCATATTTTATATTGACACTTTGGTAAAGAGTTAGGAGATTAAAAAATAGGTAAAGGATTATTGAGTAAGAAGTTATTGAAATTGGTTCCTCACATTGTAGTTCACCGGTCATGGTAGTTCCGAAAAAAAGAAGCAGACAATCCATAGAGGATGGGCATTGATTATAAAGCATGCAATAAAGATTATTTTAGAAAAGCAATTATTCATTGACCATGATTGAGGATTTGATCCTTGCTATAACAATCTGAATACTTATTCAAATTGGATAAGAAGTCGAATACAATCAAATCCTAACAGGTGTGGGATGAGGACACTTGGAAGACTGCTTTCAAAACTTGTCCAATGTCTTTAAATGGATAAATGATGTCTATACCATACAATGCTTCTGCCTCATTTATAAGGATGATGAACAAGGTACTTTGACCTTTCGTAGACTCTTTTATTAATGTATACTTTGATGACTATCTTGTCATGTAGTAACCTTTGGGAAGGGCACTTACATTACCTAGAGGAAGTCCTCTTTATACTAAAAGTCTCTTAAGATATACTAAATATCAAAATGTGTTGGAACTTTTAACTTGCTTATATAGGGTTTGAAATTAGGGAAGACGAGTTATAGATTGACCCTAATATCGTTAAGGTCATACACGAGTAACCAAGGACAAACACTATATTTGAAGTGAGGAACTTTTTGGATACTTGCTAATATGTTAGAAAATGCATCAACGGTTTTTTAATATTTTGCTTGCCCTACTGCACATTCTCATATGGGTAGGGAGGAAATTTGCCTAGGAAGAGCATGGGGAGGCTACCTTTCATTTTGTTGACATGAATGATCATTCAACTGAAAATTATGTAGCTGGAATAGACATTGGTGTATAATAGGCGTTGTTGATCATGGAAATATTTGGTACTAGCTAGAAAATGCACTTGGAGTTGCAATTCTTTAGGGGTTGTTGTGTCTTATGCTACACTTGACCATCCCACTAAAAAGTAGAGTTTTAGATGTCACTTTCAAAACCACGGTGGCCATGGGAAAGAATCTCTATAGACTTTCTTGGAGGGCTACTTGACACATAAAGGATTAAATGATCTATTTGTTATTATTAATATGTTGTTAGGCTCATCGAAATGTGTTCTTGTACCGTGTAGAAAAACAATTATATGTGAAAAATTGCAAAATTGTTCATCCAACATGTCTTAAAGCCCACATCCATCATCTCTATAGGACCAACCATTTTCTTAGCTTATGTTAGAGAAAATTATGGAGCATGAAGGACACCATATTGGCGAGGGTCATTGCTTTCCTCCCACAAATGGATTATCAAGTAGGGGTTGTGAACAAAGTTATTGTGAGGATGTTGCAAATATATAATGCCATTTACCTGTGAACTTCGATGGCAACATATTTGTTACTAATAAGAGATTTGAGAAGAAAAGCTTGGTTTTATTCATTACTATCTTCCCTATTTGTAGATCTATACAAGATATCTTAATGAGGAAATAATATATTACATAAAATTTCTAATAAAATATTTCCTAAATTTGTTCCTTCATTATGGTGTGATCCATGAGAGTATCCCATGGATTGTTCTCTGTGTCCGTCGGATCCTTTGCACTGGGAATGGCTAGATTTCAACACTCTCCTTCAAGCTGGGAAATATGGATCTGTCATTCCCAACTTGTCAATCATTCTGAGAAAGACAGAACTGTCCAATCCTTTGGTAAGGATATCTACGAGTTGATCCTTCGATGATACATGGTCGAACACTTACTAGACCACTGTCTAGTTTTTCTTTAATGAAATGTCTGTCCACTTCTATGTGCTTGGTCCTGCCATGCTGGACTGAATTGTGGGCTATGCTGATTTGTTGTCACAATGTAGCTTCATGGGCTCATCCCACTTAATCTTTAAGTCTTCTAGGATTATTTTGATCCATAGTAGCTCACATATTCCTAAGGCCATAGCTTGTTATTCTGCTTCTGCATTGGATCTTGCCACCACATTCTATTTCTTGCTTCTCCATGTAACTAGGTTCCCCCCAAGAAATGTGCAGTATCCAGAGGTAGATCTTCTGTCAACAGGTGATCCCGTATAGTCACCATTCGTGTATACTTCTAGGGTTATTCTGCGATCTCTCTTGAAGAGAATCCATTTTCCTGGGTTTCCTTTGAGGTTGTGCAATATCCTGTCCACTGCTTGCATGTGAACCTGCTTTGGATTCTGCATAAACTGACTGACCATGCTTACAGCAAATGCTATATCTGGTCTAGTTTGGGAAAGGTAGATAAATTTCCCTACAAGTCTTTGGTAAGCTCATTTATTCACATCTGAATCTTCTCTAGCTTCCCCAAGTTTAAGATTAGGTTCTACTGGTTTCGGTGCTAGTTTACAAGCTAGTTTACCTGTTTCTTTCAAAAGATCTTTGGTATATTTTTGTTGTGAAATAAATATTCCTTTGCTGGAGTGAGTTACTTCAATTTCGAGAAAGTATTTTAGTCTACCAAGGTCTTTGATATCAAATTCCTTAGTAAGACTTTTTCTTAAACTAACTTTCTCCTCTTCGTTATTTCCATTCAAGATAATATCATCAACATATACCAATAAAATTGTGACCCCCCCTGAGTTTGAATGTTTAAAGAATAATGTATGATCCCCTTGTCTCTGTCGGTACCCATTAAGGAGCATGAATTTAGAGAATCTTCCGAACCATGCCCTTGGTGATTGTTTGAGCCCATATAGAGCCTTTTTTAGTCTACACACTCTGTTACCTTCAGTTTCTTCCTTAAACCTCGGTGGTATTTCCATAAATATCTCTTCTTCCAAATCCCCATGCAGGAATGCATTTTTCACATCCAATTGCTCCAGATGCCAATTGTACTTGACTGCTAGTGAGAGTAGTATTCTGACCGTATTATGAAACGTGAGATAGAGAAGAATCTTGTGGTCAAAACATCAAAATAGCCTTTAGATTGATGAAATACGGAAGAAGACAAACAAGGCACAATGGATATTCTATTGGAGAGGAATATTCGACTCTCCTAAATCTCTAGACGCTAGATCCCAAACAAAAACTAAGAATCAAAAAAATTCAACAAAAATAGAGATGAAAACCTAACCCTAGCCACCAAAACATACTTGATCATACAATAATTAGATAAATCTTAAAACAGATCATTCTATTTGACTTTTTGCTCCTATGCCCCCCTTAATTCCCTCTAATTAAGCTTGTGGACCCCACTATCAAGGGGCAACATAGATGGGGGCAGAACTTCTACTGTTCTTAGGCCTTAACCCATTACGTGGGGTTGGCCACATGAATCTGTTTTCTCCATTATGTCCTGTTAAGAGTCAAATTCTAATTTAATTTAATAAAAAATGTCATTTCTAATATTTTTAGGTCTACTTCTATCTTTCTTAACATATGCCAAATAATACATCTATTCACCTGATCGAGTCATCGGAAGGCTGACATTTTATGTGTCCAAACCATCCAAGGAGATGAGCACCAAAAAAAATAAAATAAAATAAAATAAAAAAACTTGCTTATTTTTTTAATTTAAATTTTCTTTGAAATATGGAAAAAAGAGGAAGTGGTTGCACAAAATAATTGATTTTGAATGTCTTTTAAACAAAATAATCCTTTTTATCTCTTGGCTGGTCACTTAATGAGGTGTTTAGATAGGATTCTATAAATTTTTAGATTAGTTTTCTTATTTGTAGATTTGTAACTTGAAACTAGGAATTAACTTGCTGTTTTCTATTTATTTTAATTGTTGTACGTCTACAAGACTCCATTGTAGATATTGTTATTGGTCATCAAAATTAATGAGAACTAGCCTACCCCTTTCTATAGCCAGCAACCCTTTCTCTCACTCTCTCTCTCTGTCTTATTTCTCTTGCTACTCAATTCCCCCTCCCTTTTCTCTCTTTACTTGAGAGCTCAAAGGGGCAGTAAGGGGTGCACCTGAAGGGGAAACAAGGGAAACCTATCTCAAGGAGGATAACAATGGAGGAGAAGGCTTCAGAGAGTTTTAGATTAGTACTCTCTAATTTTCTTTCAAATTGTCAGCAATTGCTTGTGTTTGTGAGGTTCTAAGCATGCAATATTCCCCTCTTCTTTTGGCTTTGGCTGACATCTACATATCATAGATTTTTGTACAACTCTAATTTCCATCTACTCTCTCGTTTAAAAGAGTAGATGTATTAAATCCGGAATATGTTAAGAAAGGTAGAGGCAGACTTGAAAAAAAATGAAGTGTTAGAAATAACTTTTCTTTTATTAGATTTAAATGAAAATGTCTTGTAACAGGAGACAATGGCGAAAAAGGATTCATGTAGCCGACCCCACGTAGTGGGAGAAAGGCTTGATGTCGTTGTTGTATCTGCTTCATACTGTACATTTTGCATGCTTTAACAACCATCATATATGTTGAAGTTGTATCCCAAGTCTGTTCTTATAAGTGGCTTCTAATTATATGCCTGCAGATGTTTTATGCCGAATAGCAATGAATGTTATGTTCATCATTACTGTGCTGCATTTTAGCTAGCTGTTTTGTTTCTTTTGTGCATATTGGTATTAGTTAATTCATTTCTATTTTAGTTGGCATTTGTTGTACGGTTGTTGACAGTATATCTTAATCGTTGTTTGTTTTACATCGTGTGCTATGCTTTTTAGTATAGAAGCCATCCATTTACTAAGCGTTAAAAGTATCTTGTAGGTTTATGAACGCATTAAAGCACCTCTACTCACGCTTGTGAGCTCTGGTAGCCCTGAACAATCTTATGCTGTGTTGAGCCACTTGCATCTATTAGTGATGCGAGCTCCCATTTTGTTCTCTTCAGACTACAAGCACTTCTACTGCCAGTACAGCGAACCAGTATATGTGCAAAAGCTTAAACTCGAGATGTTGACTGCCATAGCGAATGAGAGCAATACCTACGAAATTGGTGAAGATCTATTTTTCTTAATGAAGCACCTGTTTCCCTGGCCATTCTTAATTATGCTTATTTTCTTTTGCCATATTGATTTTTTTTCCTATATTTTGTTTTCTCAGTGACCGAGCTTTGTGAATATGTTGCAAATGTCGATATTTCTATTTCAAGGGAGTCAATCAGGGCAGTTGGAAAGATAGCATTGCAACAATACGATGTTAATGCAATTGTTGATAGGCTTCTTCAGTTCTTGGAAATGGAAAAGGATTATGTGACTGCTGAAACACTTGTAAGTTCCTTTCAAGGATGGATTTCATTTTCTGAGTGTAGTTTCTTATTTTACTTGTTTAGGAATACAATTACATAAGTTGTAGCTGCACTACAATTAATTAAATTGCTGTTATTTGGAACATTCTGCAGGTTTTGGTGAAAGATCTTTTGAGAAAATATCCTCAATGGAGTCATGATTGTATTGCAGTTGTTGGAAATATCAGTAGCAAAAATGTCCAAGAACCAAAGGGCAAAGCTGCTTTGATATGGATGCTGGGGGAATATTCCAATGATATGCTTGATGCTCCTTACATTCTAGAAAGTCTTCTGGAGAACTGGAATGAGGAACAAGCCCCCGAGGTAATTGGTTTCTTGACAGTAACTTATCTTATAATTAAATTTACTTGGGTCTGATTCTGCTCCATGGCTGATATTAATATGGATTTATTTTGATTATGTTTATTAAACAAACCAGTCTGCCTTAATTCAACTCTCCGCATCTGGCATAAGTTACTTAATATTGTTTTACAGAACTTCTGTTGAATGTTTCGCGTTGTGGTGTATCGTGCTATCATGACACTAGATCTTTTGCACTAGTTTGTGTTATTTATGGGCTTTTCTTACTGTTCATGTTCTGGATGTTCCAAACATGACCTCTTGAAAGAATATTAACTAGCTGTTCTGGTAAGATTGTGAAGTGCTTCAAGGACTAACCTATTTTACCTCCTCAAATTCTTGTTTTTAATTTACCATTACTGCCAAGTTTCCAATCGTTTTCTTGGATCCTACGATAATCATTTGTAAAGTCAGCATCAAATGCTCTTTTGGTGATAACTGTTATTGATAATTATTCTTCTACTCATTGGGGTTCTTTAAGGTAATCAGTGAAGTCGAATTCTTTAGGTCTGCCTGTTCGATTCTATAACCAAACAATGGTTGGTGGAAGTGCCCATTATTTTTTTTCTTAGTCTGGAATCCTTGTGCTATTATGCAGTTAAATACAAAAAAGTTCATTTCAATCTGTTCTCTGTTGAATAAAGAAATACTGTCTGCTTCTGCCATTATGACTAGCGAATTCTCAAGCTTTCCCAGGGGATTTGTTTTTTAAAAAGGCATAAGTGTGTACTTAAAGTTTTTCTATTTTTAAAAGTCCACTTGTTAGAATCTGGAATCATACAGGAAATATTTCTAGACTGCAAATGAAACCTATTGCTTACTTAATAAATTGGTGTTGCTTGATAGCAAAGTTAGACTTCTTACATGGAATTATCTTGCTAAGGTTGCTTTCTAATTTTATAATCAAGCCATCTCATTTCTTTGTTGTACTTCTTGTTTCATTTGTTTTGTGCATATGCACTATATGTCCGGATGAGATAAATTTATTTAAGTTGAATGTTTATTCTTTTCTGCATGGATATTTTGATTTGAAGTTTCTGTAGTTTGGGTAAATCGGTTTCTTGGTGAGGGAGGCTTAGCATATCTGATTCATTTTGTTATGTCTCTGATGTTTCTTGGCTCCTGTTGCAACTTCTAGAACTCTACCTGAAATAACTAATTTTTATACCATATTTGTTATGTTCATGTACTTGAAGGAACAAATAGCACTATGTGAGGAGACTAGGATCATACTCTAACTTCCATTATTAGGTTTGAGACAATATTGTATTTTCTTTAAATCCCCCATTTTGTACTGTTCTATGCCATTAAGAAATCAAGGGACTTGTAATTTTGATTGATTGTTGTGTGGATAAATTTAATCCATGTCTGCTTGTTAAGGAGCAATTACATCTAACGTCATGGCTCAGTTGTCTCATAACTAATTGAATATATATTTGTAGTGCTTTGGTTTGGTAATGCCTATAGGTGTCCAGGGTCTTGAACCCCCATACGATTACTTTAAATTTTATATTTAACAATTCTCTTGTTATTTTGAAGGTTCGATTACATCTTTTAACTGCGGCAATGAAATGTTTCTTTAAAAGGCCTCCTGAGGCCCAAAAGGCCTTAGGTGTTGCATTAGCAGCTGGTTTGGCTGATTCCCACCAGGTCACTTCCCTTTTTATATCATCAATGGGAAATTTAAAATATTTTTTCTTTTGTACGTTTTAGCAATTCTTTTGTTTCCTTCTTTTTATTAAATGGTTACTTGTTTGTAGGATGTTCATGATAGAGCCTTATTCTACTACAGACTTCTGCAACATGATGTATCTGTGGCTGAACGTGTGGTAAATCCACCCAAGCAAGCAGTTTCAGTTTTTACTGATGCCCAGAGCAGTGAAATTAAAGATCACGTATTTGATGAATTTAATACCCTCTCAGTTTTATATCAGAAGGTATGTATCATTCATCATCTTTGATCTAAATATAACCTTCCCATGTTTTATTTTTTTGAATTTTTGGCTCAAAATAGAGTTTGAATGTGGAGAAGCACACTAATCAATTTTAGTGCTTTTTTTGGGTAGTATTATCATTTAATTTCTCGTGCAAGAGTTTTCTGTTCCTTTTGATTGTTTCTTTCTTATTTGATTTACTTTTCTTTTAACAGTAAAGATAGTAGGACCTTTGTTAAAAATGATGTAATAATGAAAAGATGAAAAAAAAACATCTTAAGAAATTATTAAACGAGAGTTTAATTAAGGAGTTTTGGTAGAAGAGTAAAATGTTAAATATTATGAAGTGAAATTTCCTATAGATTGATACAAAAAATTGAAGTTAGCTTTGAAAAAAGTGTGTTAAGATTAAGGCTTAATTTTTTATTAGATTGGCTGCTCAAGAAAAATGGCGCTTCAGCATGAATCCCGTTTTTCAGACTTAGGATTCCATTCTCATGATGGCAGATTTATTTTTTATTAACCAGATTTCCCCTGAGGATTATATCACGGTTTATTTAGATGTGAGTCCTTACTTCCTATGAGCGCAAGTCTTCATAGTTAATTATCCATTATTTTCTTCGGCATGAATCCCACTTTTCAGACTTAGGATTTCATTCTCCTTAAGGCAGATTGATTTTTAATTAACCATATTTTTCCTGAGGATTGTATCAGAGTTTATTTAGATATGGATTCTTACTTCCTATGAGCGCAACCCCTCATAGTTAATTATCACTCTTACTGTGTAAGAGAAAATTCTCGATTAAGGATGAATTATTTAAGGTAACTTTGGAATTTTTAGTTTCAATCTTATTTGTTGGGGAATGGAGGTTGACCCGATCACGATCCTATGGTTCCATCATCCCGAGAATAATGTAGGTTTCAGTCTACTAGCACTAACAATCATTGATCGTAGTGTCCAATGAATTTGATTAGCAGACATAGGTTGTCTCTTCTCAGGAATCTTGAGTAAACTAAAATGGTTAGATGAAGTGGTTTATTGTGATTTGAGGTTTATATCTATTAGATTACCCATTGATTTATTTAGTTTAGGGCTTATATCTCCATTAGGAGTTACCCAGTAATTTTGTATGGGATAGGATTTACTACTCTGTTTAGGAGTTGCCCGCTTGTTTGATTTGGTTCGGAGCTTACGGCTCTACATAGAATTTACCCGTTTGTTTGATTTTAGGACGAGTCTTACGGCTTCGTTTAGAAGTTTCCCGTAGGTTTGGTGTAGGTTGGGGCTTATGGCTTCACTTAGGAGTTGCTCTTATGTTTGAATTTGGTCGGGGCTTATTGGAGTTGCCCGAGAGTTTAATTTTAAAATGGGGCTTACGGCTCCACCTATGAGTTGCTTGTAGATTTGCTTATGTAGGTCTTGCGACTTCCCTTAGAAGTTGTATGCAATTTTGATTTGGGTAGATCTTACGGCTTCCTTTGGAAGTTGCCTTTAGATTTTCTTACGACTTCCCTTAGAAGTTGCCTATTATTTTGATTTAGGGTAGGTCTTACGGTTTCCCTTGGAAGTTGCCTATAAATTTGCTTGGATATGTCTTACGACTTCCCTTAGAAGTTTCCTGTAGGTTTAGATTGGGGTAAGTTTTATGGCTTCCATTGGAAGTAGCTTGTTTGTTTTATTGGATAGATCTTATGACTTCCCTTAGAAGTTGCATATAGGTTTTTGTTAGAGATAGGGCTTATTGCTTCTTTTAGAAGTTGCTTATAGGTTTTTTATTTGGGGTAGTTCTTATGACTTCCATTGGAAGTAGCTTGTTTGTTTTGATTTAAATGTCTTACAACTTCCTTTAGAAGTTGCCGGTAGGTTTTTATTTGAGATAGGGCTTACTGTTTCTTTTAGAAGTTGCCTATAAGCTTAATTTGGGGTAGGTCTTTCGGCTTTCATTGGAAATGGCCTGTTTGTTTTGATTTGGATAAGTCTTATGATTTCTCATATAAGTTGCCTGTGGATTTTTGTTAGAGATAGGGATTATTGTTTCTTTTAGAAGTTGTCTATATGTTTAATTTGAGGTATGTCTTACAGCTTCTATTAAAAGTAGCATGTTTGTTTTGATTTGGATGGGTCTTATGACTTTCCTTATATGAGACTTTTTTAATACTTCATTTAGAAGTTGCCTATACGTTTTTGTTAGAGGTAGGGCTTACTGCTTCTTTTAGAAGTTGCCTATAGAGATACCTATTTTAAGTCTTGGAGGATGAGATGTTGGAGTATTAATTTTCATGGAAGGCATGATCACTAAATTTCATCAAATTAAATTCTCCTTATAATTAGTGTCATTAAATTAGAGAATACATTAATGAATCATCTGTAGAAGATATCAAATAATAAAAACTCCTATTCTCATAAATATTAGTTGTGTTGGCCAATTTATTTATTGCATTTATCATGATTGATTGATAATCCATCGCAAAATAAAAATAATTCCAAATTGATTAAAATGGTGTCACAAAATAGTATGTTTCAATGATTCATATATAGTTTTTTCAAATTGTAAAAAAGTTTAGATATACCAAATGATCAATTCTTGTGATGTGGGATGTCTTAGGATTTAAGCTTTTTGTGATGCAAATCTAAGTCGGGATGCACAGGAACATTCATAAAATATTAGAGTTTGTAGTCCACATAGGAAAAAATGTCATTGCTTTTGATGCAACTCTGAAAACACATCAAACTCTATTCTAGTAATAATGAAAAGATAATTTAAATTGATATTTTTTAGCAGGAAATCTAAGATCTTAATGTCATGAGTATGATTTACACTCCAAGAAGAAAACTAAATTATTGCAGAGCTAAGCAAATCTCATTCACCTGTAAAACTAATCATTTAGTATGTAGATGAAAGAAACCAGAACATAAGTCAAAAAAGAAGACCCATGCCTCACACTGCTTTAAGGATAAAGTTTTCTCCCAGAAGTTATTGTTAAGACTTTTATCATACTTGAATTACAACCCTATTAATGGCCAAAATTGCTAATCTCTCAAAATCGCTAAAATGCAGCCTAAATTTTCAATCCCGATTTCAACAATCTCAAATCCTAGCTAAAATATATAGTTTATAATCCTCATTTTTGAGAATACCCTATTGTCCTGATTCTACCAATCAAGCCTGGTACTTTGTACAAAACATATAGGAAAAAAAAAAAGCAAGTATCCAATTATGTAAACAACAACAAATTAAAAAAAAAACAACCTAACGAGAAACTTATGGATCACAATAATAAATAAAAAACAACAAACATTAAAATAGTCGTAATCTTCAAACATTAATCAAGAACGACATCAGCTATATTGTTAGCTACGTGTGTAAAATGAGAAGAAATAGGGAAGCACATGAATACCAACTCCAAATTAATTAGCTGACAAATTAGCTATTGGATAGAAGTAGGGGGCTTCACATGTGTTAAGATAGGAGTGAACATAGTTCCCAAAACTGACTTGATTTTTAAATTGAATTAAAATTGACTTAATATATTTTAGTGGACTTTCAAGTCATGGTTCTTGACATGAAATATCGATTTTGAGTTTGTATTGTCTTTCTCGATATTTGATTTAAGTCAGCTCAAAATCATATATGTTATGCATATTTGATATAATACTAACAATAAGTAATATTTGGTCCATCTGGTTGGTGTTTTTTAGCTGTTGCAGAAGGTCCTAGTTTGAATCCCTTCAATTATATTTTTCTAGTATTGAGCCTATTCAGAATTGATTCTGAGTTGGCCCGAAATAAAGCTATGTTGATCTAAGCTGACTTGAGTTGTAATCAATTTGATTTTGAATTAATATTTGATTTAAGTTGACCTCAAAATTTAGAGTTAGAGACGAGCAAAACTCACTTAAACTCGGTATGTCACCAAACTTGTGTTGAAACAAGGATTTGGAAATAACTGAAGTCGGGAATCTGATAATAGCTGAATCAAACTTGCTTTTAGTCTAATTAGAAAACCATAACTAACCAAGGGAATCAAAGCATTAGAGAACACATCACATTATTATAGGCACATCATCATAGCATGTTATAGCAAAAGAAACAGGAAAAAAATAGAAACTATTTTACAATGATAAGTTGATAACTCAGTATCACTACGCATGATTTGCAAATTTAATGTATATAAACTTCCATTTTTTGCAACATTTAGCCAAGTTTGAAAAATTTTGGCTTCGAAGAATCAAGTATTTCTAGAGGTGTCAAAAATTGACACGACTTGAAATCCGACCCGAAAAAATCCGGGTTCGGGTCAACCCGATTGTAAAATGGGTCGGGTTCGGGTTGACTCGGAAACCCGAAATCAACCTGAAATTGACCCGGGTCCGGGTTCGGGTCCGGAAGCCTATGCCACAAGCTCACAGTCGCACCTTAGACCTCATTGTCCTTACACGGACGTGGTCACACGGTCACGCCCAACCATCTCCTCACGCAGGCACGGCGCCTCAGCCTGGTCGCCTTCAGGTCCATATGGAAAGCGGCACGCGGGCACGCCCACAAGAGGCAACGCGTCAGCGCCTCTTCTGTCACGACCCGGCCCGGTGAGCTCGCGCAGGCGAGGCGGGAACAAAGGTCGGACGGTAGGTTAAATTATCTAATCTCTAAATCTATTTCCATAATAATTTGAAAGAGTCTCTAAAACATCAAATTGAAAACACATAAACATAAACCTCAATAAATTCATAATTACCTTTCTTCTGGAGTTCCTCTCCTACAATAAACATTGCCGCCTCTTCTGCTCATTTGATTAATTTTAGC